TCTTCTAGTCTTTTCAACTTTTTTTTTTTCTTCATCTTTGATTCTTGTTGGATATATTAGGCTTTTTTTCCCCTTATTATTAGGCTTTGGTGGATTAGCATTGCTTTTTCTTAAGGTTGAATGTTACCAAACTGTTAGGCCAAAAGGGATGAGCTCAAATAATGAGAAATGGGGGATAAAGATGAGTTTTGTGCCACTAGGAATGAAAAGTGACCACCACAATTGCACATTGAGTAAGAGAGATGACACAACTATGTGTGAGATGTGGTCATCACACCTTTTTTTTTTTTTTTGGGTACTTTTTTTAGTGGCAAAAAATCATTACAACCTAGATTGTTTGGACTTGTGATTGTAGCACAAATTATAGATATTCATAATCATTTGCAAATCAAATGCATAAGTTGTATTGAGGATTTATAAATGCATTGAGAAACTTGAGTTGAGCTTGGGCATGACTTGGTTCTGGTTCGTACAAATAATAGATTGAACTAAACAAAATCGAATCCAAGCAACCTATACCTTCGCTCTAGGCTCCTATATCTTCGCTCTAGGCTCAGTTTGGCTTGAATAAATTTCTATTTAAGGATAATTTTAATGTCAAACAATCCTTATCCAAAAGATAAATAGTTTCGATCTATGTGTACTTTTTTTTCACTTCTCTAAGAGATTTTTGGTAAATTAGAATATAGCTGGTTTGGTTTTTTGGTTGATTACAAATAGAAATTGATTATACAGTGCAAATTTTATTGAAAATTTGAGTTTAATTTTGGTGTAAGTTCAATTCAAATGCTCATAATTGTTTGTCAAGCCGAGCTTGAGTAAGAATTTGAACTAAGCTTTTAAGCTCAGTCATAAACTTATACATCTACACAAATCAATTCAATTTGGCTACGGCTCCTCAATTTGCTCTTCAATTTCTTATGATAAGTCTTTAATACAAGATATGTTCATACAAATAAGGCACTCGGATGGGTTAATCTCAAATGTCATGTCTCCAAAACCCATGCTCTGAAAAGATGACTCACCAAGCTAAATAGAATACAATTATTGATTCTTTTGTCAACATTAGAAGCAATCTCGTGTTCTAAATTATCAATCCAGATTCATTCATTACACTTTCACTCAATTTAACTTGATGATAAATTATTTATCATTAATATATATGGGACCCACCATTTATTATTGAGTTTCTCATCCATACACGATGAATGATTTATTATTGAGTAAAATTAAGAAAAAAAATTTAATGGAGAATATCTCAATCCCTAAATTATTACACCATAAAAATATATTACTATTGTCGATTGATAGTGACTTTGATTTTTTGGGAGCTATGTTATGTGTTTTATGTGAAACCTCGTTCACAATACACATCAATTTAACGTGTAGTCAACACCTAGGGTTCACTATCATTTCGTAGGTGGTTGGCATTTCAAGTCACTTTTAGGTTTTTAAATCTATTGAAATATAAGTATTAAGTTATACGGAGATCTATAGAAGGGTGTAATTTAAACAAATCGTGCTCAACTTATACTTAACTTGAATTCGATCTTTGATCGTAGTCTTGCACTCCATATATTGACCATACTGGCATTTTTAAACTCAGATTACACAATTGTGACTCTAAGATGCATTTTCGAGTATCCGAGCAAGACCAGGCCAATTTTCAATCTTCCTCGTCTATGCCTAAGTTGTACTAAAGAAAAATTTGTAGCTAATGCCAACGAGATGAAATGTCATAGTCCCTCTAAATACATTTTCTCTTAAGTAGATTATTCACTACTATTGTGAGATTCGTTTTTATACAATGAATACCACTGGAATTCATGATGCATGATCTATTATCGAGAAAAATACACCGAAGGAGCTCTAAATCCTTGGAACAACCTCCTTTGACATTCTAGTATTAATGAATCTATCATGATTAACCAGGCAAAAACACAAAAAAAAAGTGATCTCCTTATTACACACACACACATCAAAAAAGAGATTGTGTTTCTACCCAGTGGTGTCAACAAGGATCAAAAGATTGGTGCTTACATTTTAATGTAAATGGTGGCAGGTCATTGAGTATATCTGTTCTCAATTGGCAAATTTAGGTACCTTTCTTAATGATAAATCATTCATTACATATTAGTTTTTTTTTTTTTTGGGAGGGAGAGTTGAACCCTTGACTAGGACTGCTAGTCGAACGAGTGCAAGTTGAGTTTGAGCCGAACTTAAAAAGCTTATTTTTTAATCAAGTTAAAAAAATTATTCAAATTCGACTCGTTTAAGAAACAAGCCGAGCCTGAACGAGCCAAAAAAAGTAGCCCGAGTATTTGCATATAAATGAGTCGAATCTATCGAGTTTGAGCCGAACTTGTAGAGCTTATTGGACTTTATTTTCTAAACGAACTTAAAAACTTGTTTAAGTTTGGACTCGTTTAGAAAACGAACTGAGCCTGAACAAGCCGAATCTGAGTTAAACTCAAGTCAAACTCGAGTAGCTCAATTTGATTAACAGTTTTATCCTTGATCTCAAGAAGACAAATTCTTCGCAAAGTAAAAAATACTATTAGAATAATCCGTTTAATGTTAACTTTCACTTGAATTCATGAGACTGAAAAGAAACATATTAGAAGGGACATTGATGGATTTTGAAATGACCATGAATGAGGAGAAGCATGTTTGAAGGTCTTACCATGTCCTGCAACTGACCTGTAGCTTTCCAATAAAAAGGCCATCAGGACTTTGGTAATGCTTTGTGGTCTTTGTCTCTTATTTCAACTTTCTAGTCTTTTTCTCATTATGGATCCCCCACAATGGGATTCTATACATGCTTTCATAAAACAACAATTATAGCACAAGGTGCCAATCATAGTGGCACATTGAACTAATGGGTGGGCATGGGTAAAAAGGATCAAGGGTACAAAATCTTGTACATGTTGTCAAAGGGCATCAATGGGTTGTGAGCCGCCTAGGTAATTCAAATGAAAAAAAAATTTCAAAAATTACAAGGTTAAGATTCAAAGCCCGATTCTCTTAAAAAAAAATATATGTGGTTTACAAGTTAATATATGTACATTACATTTAAGAGTCCAGAGAGTGCATTGTTGAATCTGTCTGTTAAGTATCATTGCTAACAGATCTATTGTGAGTAATATCAATCCCAAATGGAGCCACGTAGTTTTGTTGGATCTAGTTTAAAAAAAAGTGCAAGGAATTTCCAATCTTCAATAGGTCAAATAGAGAATGGAAAGTCCACTAGATCAACCCATGGCATCATCATTATCTAAAATGAGTGGTTCATAAGAAAGAAGAAAAATAATTTATATAACAATCATATTATATTCTAAAAAATTGCAATCAAGGAACTCCAACACTGTGGGGGACCCTAGAGAACTTAGTTGAACTCATATCTTAAGCTACTACCCAATTTTATGAACAACTCATTAAGGCTAACAAACTTGGAAAAAATATAATAGAAAAGAAAACCCAATTACATAGACAACTTCATTAGGATAACTATAGGTCTATGGCCACTCCAATAGGTGGGGTCACTTGGATTATATGGTCCACAAAGTGACCCATAGACCTACTTGACAAATATAGATGGCACAAATATAGATGATACAAGCATGACGTGTGATGATACCCATATTTTTTCCTTCTTTTTTTAGGTTTTGGTTGTTGATATATATATTTTGTTATGGGATGTTTAAATTTGTGTCGATTATTTCTTCGAGTTCAACAGCTAGTCACTGTAACTTAGTTCGAGTTAGAGCACCTCCCTTTAGCTCTGAATTATCAAAGATCAAGTTCAACCAGTAAGCCACCCATAAGAATTACATAAATATCTATCTAATATTAAATCTAGTAGTTTGAATTGCACATCAATAAAAATATAATAACGGTCAAAATTAATTTAATTTTTATTTAATTTTATTTAACAATATAAAATTCATTCTAAAAATAATTATTTTGTCCAAAAAATATTAATCTCTAATGTCAGACAATTCAATTAACACACTCCCTAATATTATTAATTTTAAATTACGTATTTAAATAAAATATAAAATATAAATATTATACGATTAATACCCAATTTTTAATATTACATACAGAGTGTCTTTTTTTTTTTTTTTTAACAGGAGAAGAGTCGGTGAGAATTCGAATCCACGACCTAGCGGTCCGACAGCATGCTATAGTGACTATTATTTGGTCAATACAAAATTATTACTAACACATATTAAGTTAGAAAATCATTCTACACATAATTTACAAATGACATCAAAAGTATTTATAAAAAATAAGATTTCATTTGGTTAGCATGATAATGATAAAAAATACAAGATAGAGAAAGAAAACATAAATTTTTTTTCAAGTTTTTTTAAAAAGAAATCGATAAAAAAATACAAGAAAGTGGTGTATAGGGTCCACCAAATTTCTCGTAAATCTAGCTTTTGATTTCTTGCAAAATCTGTGGAATTTTTTTTTTTTTCCCCACGAAAGTGTTAGAGGTAGCCCACATTTTCCAACTTGCCCACAGTTTGTTTCTTCTCCTCTTCTCTTTACACCATACGAACAAGAAGATGGCAACAAAATTGTACAGCCAAATAAGACTCAACAAAACTTAAAAAAATTACCCATTCATCATTCGAATCACTGTATATTTGCGAAATTGAAATGATAAGGATAATTTAGTAATTACACCAATTTTTTTTATATTTTTCTAGAAAATTTTTCATTCTAATCAAATAATTTTCTTTTTTCTTTTTTTTTTTTTATTTTGCTTTCCACCGTTTTCACTTTCTATCATCATTTATTTTTTTCCCTAACCAAAGCCAAGGGAAAAGATTAAGTGAGGAAATTATATGAAAGAATTTGATTGAAAAAAACTTATTTTATATTTTATAAATTAGAAATAAGAAAATTAAACATGTGGAAAATAAATATCATTGATTGCGCTCCAATTCCCTCTCCAACAATACCAGCTGCTGTTACTTGGAAAGTGTCCAACGTGCCGTTGCCCGCCGCCTTGGAGGTGGAGCACCACCACCACCCAACACGACTTAAAAATCCAACTTGTGAATGGTGATCAAACAGAATCCTTCTATCGCACGTCAATCCTCTCTTTCTCTCCCCTCTCTCTAACACCACTATAAATATCACCACCCCACCATAGCCATACCTTCACTACCACCATTTCCAACACCCATCATTCTACTTCAACACAATCACTTGTGTGCACACACACACACACACATATATAGCTTCATTATTCCTCCTTTGTTATCTTTCATGGGTGATAAAAATGTCAACCTCCCACCTGGTTTTCGATTCTGTCCCACGGATGAAGAGCTGGTAGTCCATTTCCTCCATCGGAAAGCCGAACTCTTGCCTTGCCATCCTGATGTCATCCCGGATCTTGATCTCTACCCATATGATCCATGGGACTTGGATGGTAATTTAATCTATCCCTCAACTATAATTTTTCGTTTTTACTTTTTATTTTTGTAATATATAGTTGGCATTTATAAAATTTTATTGAATTGAGTTGAGTTTAGTTGAATTGAGATGAGTTCATGAGATCGCTCTCCTCAAATTTTGGCAATTGAGTTGATTTATCCAAGGAAATTAAGGAATAGTAGATGCAATAAGAAGATGAAGAGGAAGAAGGTGAGATATTATTATGATAAGATGGAGGCCCATCATGTCATTAGAGATTAGGGTTTTAAAATAGATGGTAGTTTCACATTATATTAGGTAAGGTTTTGCATTCGAATTGCACGTGCTTGTCTTAAAATCAACCGACACGAGTAAACATGTCAAACTATTTAGTTATTTATATTATATTCTCTCTGACAGTTTAAAACGCATGTACTTCTTGAAAGAGGGCGGTCACCTGATGCATTAGAGGAACCGACTCGAATATCGAGTGTGTGTGTACATATAGTCTCCATAAACATTGAGGATATATACTTAACTTTTACATGGTGGAAAATGCAGGTAAAGCAATGGCTGAGGGTAACAAGTGGTATTTCTATAGCCGGAGGACACAAAACCGGATTTCAAACAATGGGTATTGGAAGCAAGTAGATGTGGATGAGCCAATTTTCACAAGTTGTAGTGAAAAAGTTGGGATGAAGAAACATTGTGTGTTCTACATTGGTGAACCTCCGGAGGGTGTCAAAACCAATTGGACTCTGCAGGAATTCAGGCTCTCAGATAGTACTAGTTCCAGCAGTAGATCATCAAAAAGACGAGGACATTCCAAGGTTGTGAGTACCATGCGTGAGAGAGAGAGAGAGAGAGAGAGAGAGAGAGAGAGAGAGGGAGCTCTTCTACCCTTTAGTTTTTTTGTTAACAGTGAAAGACATTTGAACCACACATTCTTTAAACTCATGTTACGACATGGTCTTCTAATATATATAAATATATTTAAATTTCTTCTTCTAACATATATAAATATATAAAAATTTCTTTGGTTGTATTTTGTCAGGATTATAGTAAATGGGTGGTATGTCGAGTTTATGAGCGTGACTGCGGCGGCGGCGACGACGTCGACGACGGAACGGAGCTTTCATGCTTGGATGAAGCTTTCTTGTCATTGGATGATCTTGATGAAATTAGTTTGCCAGATTAGATTACGCAACTTAGGATCCAGAGTGGAGTATATTACTCACAAGGATCTTTTTTTTTTAATTTAGAATTTGATATGTTTTTGGCCTTAGCAAAATGTTGTATCAATTAAAGTTGATTCTATGTGACACTCAGATGTAAAATTATATTTGGTATATCTTGTCGACCACCAATGGGAAATGGAATGTCTATCAAGCTATGGCCAAGTAGGGGTGCAAGTGAACCGAGCAAGAGTGTTAAACTGTTTGAATCCTTTGTTTACAAAAAAAAATAAATAAATAACAGTTTGAATCTGAATCGTTCGTACGGAAAGAATATTTGGGTTCCATTCAGAATCGTAACAAGTTTTTTAAACTGGGGTTCAGCTCGACTTGATTCGTCTGATTAAATGAATCAAACTCGAACTAAGTAAGGAATTCAATTACAGTCTTTCACTCAATACTTCTCTAAGATTTGAGATTTAAGTCAAACATCGGAGTCCCTTAGGCTATTTTTGGTCATTGATTCACCTAAGTGCTCTCTTGTCTTGTAAGTTTCACGAGATTTTTTCACCACCCACTCCGTCTGTATATGGTGGTTATTTTTTGTGTGAAATTATTCCCGCATACGCAGGATTAGCCAAGAAATGACAAATGCAAAACTGCCAAAACAGATAAATGGATGAAAATAAAGCAAATTGAGATGGCTTTTTGACCCAGTTGCTGGGAAATTCTAGGCGCTTGATGGTTCTACTTTCATTCTCATGTAAAGGAGATTCTCTGACGTGAAAGGGAGTATTGGGAGAGAAGTAAGAAAGGAGGGGATGTGGAGCCCAGAGAGCACTGTCACCTTTTTCCAATTGTTTTGTGTGTGTGTGTGTAATTTTGATTTAACTGCATAGATGTTTCTTAAAGTATGGCATTTTTGTATCATAGTCCTTCAACTATGCAATGTAATTTAATAGGACTTTTTTATTCAAATTTGTAATTAATTTTAACAAAAAAGTATCTTGTGTACATCATGTAGTCACCAATTATGGTAGCTAAAACCATAAACGTTAGGTTTTTATTAAAGTTAACAACGAATTTAAACGAAAATACTCCGATAAGTTAGATTGCATAGTATAAAGGTTAAATTAATAGAAAAAGGGTAATCCAAGTATTTTACTCAAAAAAATTAATGGGTGGGTGCTTAGGGAAGCATTGAGTCATGTGTGATGCAAGCAACTCACATGCTTATAGGCACCCACATGTGTGCATCTTTCAAAGGCATTTTGCATCCATTCCATAAAGTAATTATGTCCTATACTATCTAGCTCCCGAGAGATAATAATAACGAAGAATTATTTTTTAATATAATATTGAAAATTAACAACATAAGGGTAAGATTATAATTTAATCTAGTGAACGTATGACAAAATAACAATGTTTGAAAACAATCACAACAATTTTCGATTAATCTTAACATTTACAATCGATCTCAATTTTGTTTTACAAATAGGTTAATTTTTTAGTGAAATAACTTAACCCAAAGGGTAAATCCCATTTTACCCCTTGAAAGATACAAAAAAATTTCATTGGCCCCCGAATGATAAGTTTTTTCACATTGCCCCTTTAAAGAAATAAAAATATTACAATGTGGTATATTGTCTTATTTCGGTTTGATCGCTTACCAGTTTTGTGATTTTTGATTGGTTGATTTGACACAAAACAAATGAAAAACCAAACAAAAATAAGACGATGGATCATATTACATTTTTTTTATTTCTTTGAGGGGCCAAAGTGAAAAAAATTAATCATTTGAGTGATAAACTGAAATTTTTTGTATCTTTTAGGGGACAAAATGAAATTTTTCCCTAACCCAAATTAAGTATTGTTTTCACTGGCATCACACTCTTATTTTGTAGTAACCTTCGATAATGCACAAAGCATGCTCTGTGGCCATAACATTATACATTTGAGCCACAAAAATAGTCGATCCACACAGAAGAATAAGACAACATACATTTAATTTCCTCTATACCCATTTATAGGGACTCAATTCCTTGCCCTTTCTCAACAAGTGTAGCCATCCGAGTCCATCACAAGGTGACAAACACCCATGGTGTGTATAAAAATGTAAAGTCATTGCTTAATAGGCTCGTAAGCTCTGAACATTCTATTCATCTCTCCCATACACATTGCATATGAAAACAGTTTAGCACATGCATGAGAGAGAAAAATGCACACAATTTGAGCAGTTTAATTGTTACCAAAGGCATAGACCTCATAACATGAATTTTATAGTTTTGTTATGGACTTTGCTTGCAACTGCCAAATCATGTTGGTAGCCATTATGATTGCACAAGACATGCTCCTCTTGGGGCATACAACTTGACGGAGTTCTAGTTCTGTTATAAAGACACACCCCAGAGAGAGATAGAGAGAGAGGCATTGACATGAGCTCTTTCCAACCCTTTATAATAGCTTGGTCATAAATAATCATTTCAACTAAATGCTTTTTTAATGTTAGTTACAACGCAAATTCTGAATGCACAAATCATCCGCTATAACTGCATGTATCAATTAAATTCTAGTTGTACACAGCTAATGACTTTTTTTTTTCTGGAGTGGGATAAATAATACAGTTAATGACGTAAACAACTTGATATATATACAGTTTATATATTGGCAAAGAGAAACTAACAAAGAAACATTTTTTGGCAACTTGTAGATTTTGAGTGAAGCAAACTATACTAACAAATTAATATTTCTTCGTCAAAAGGCTAGAGAACATTCCCGTCATGAATACCCTAATTCTGACGTACATGACCTACATTTAATTAGACCGGGAAGGAGATTAGTCGAGATGCGCATAAACTGGCCTAAATACCTCTAAATAATATGTGTTAACTAGAGATTGTAGCAAGCGAAGATTCCACTTGCAGAAACAATTTGACAAAGCTGATGATGTAAATTGTTGGGCCACTTTTCTATATCATGGATTGTTATTTGTGATTAATTTGGTACAATGCATTGCTCAGCAAGGTTAAAGACTAATGCAAGTAATAACTTTAAACATTTTGTTAATCTTTTTTAAAAATCGAATGGGTTCGGTCTTATACATACTCGAGGAAAATAATCAAAAACAAAAGAAGATAGATTTGAGGGTTTTTTTTTTTTTTTTTTTTGGGGGGGGGGGTGTTGAGGGTTTATGATGGTCCTCCTTATGATTGATTGCCATGTGAAGGAGGAGTTGACACGAGTATAACCTAAGACAAGGATCCAAATCAACTTGAAAACTAATTTCAGTCGGTTTACTCAATGCTATCAAACATAAATAATTTAAGTAAGGTGGGGGTCCTTCTAATTCTAAGTGTGTCTCCAATCAAAGCATGATAAATCACACCAAAAAGCAACATTAGCTTGACAATATATACTACACAACGCGTCGACATTGTAGAAATATGACACGAAAACAACAGATTATGACTAGGTTCAAGACATTAATCACAAAATGCCAAGAAAGTTAAAATTTTCACGTGAAAGCAATTTGGCATTAGTTAAATACGTGCAAGAAAATATGTCCTTTTTCTTTTACTTTCTCTCTCTACTTACTTCATTCTATATCCTCCCAAAATTGAGTTTTGATTTGTTTATCTAATCCTAGTTGAGATTCATATGCACTACTAATATTAATTATACTTAGGGGGGCAGATTGGACAGTCAACCCTAAGTATATAATCTTCAATCATAATCATAACTTTAACCCTACATCGGGTTGAGTTTCTCAACCCGAACACTGCCCGAGTTTAATTCAAGCGGGCTCGGGTTGAATTCGGGTTAATGATTTCGAGTTGAATTCGGATAGAGTCCAAAATAGGTTTGTTGTTCTAAACCTAATACATATATTACATAATATTCACCTAAATTAACAACCAATAATTTCAATCAAGTTTTTAACATAAAAACCATGATTAGAACATAAAAATCATTGTCACCAGTCCACTGCGAGAGAGACAGAAAGAAGGGGGAAGAGAACAAGATAGAGAACGATAGAACAAAAATAAAAAAATGAGTGCTAATGTTTTATATATATATATATATATATATATTTTTTTTTTTTTTTTTTTTAAATTTTTCAAACTCGGATTGAATCCTTGAACCCAAGACCTTAACCCGAGTCCAACCCAAATTAAATTCGAGTTGAAATTTTTTGACCCAACTCCAACCTAAATATTCAAAAACTCTTGCTTAAACCCTAATTTTTTTTTGTTTGAAATCGGGTTACCCAACCCAAGTTACACCCCTAATTATACTTTAATCTATTATAAGTTTAATTAATATTATTTTTTCTTATTTCCTAAGAACTGTTACCACTTGTTTAAGATGTGAATGCACTAGGATTCTTACTTCATTTCTATGTCTATCGTTATAACTTGTATTTTCTACTTCTCTAGCTTTATAACCCCTAACCCCTTAGTTTCTTGTAGGTACGGTATTTTAACTTTTCTTCTAATCATAGTTTCAACTAATTCAATTCTTTTACCTCTTAGTGTTCTTATATTTCAAGTTGTTAACCTAAATTTAGTTTCTTGGACTAACTTCTTCACTCGCGCTTGTCCCGACTGACAGAGTCACCCTTGTGTGTGAGAGAGAGAGAGGGGGAGAGAGCGAGAGAGATTGATAGATAAATAGTGCAAATACTATATTGGCACTGCACATGAGTGCTGTAGGGCATTGCTGTTCAAGCAATTCCATTCGCATTCACTACTCATGCTGCAGGGATTTGATACCTTGTTCTCTTTGTTTAGCAGCCTTAAAATCTATGTCCCATGTACCGGGTCAGCATCTCAAGTTTTGGGTGTGATGAGCATATATCCCTGTTACGTTCACAATTTCAAGGGATTTAAAGAAAATAGAATAGGAGAGAAAGAGACCCACTTTTGAGGGGTGAAAACCTCCATTAGTTTACTTCGAAGAGAATCCCTATTGGTTCACTTCGAGGGAAACCTGATCACCCCAATGTCATTAATCGTAAGGTCTTTTAAATATAAGAAATAAGAATTCAAAATAACTTTTAAACCCACTTCCCAGATAATTACCTAAAAAACCCATTAAAACTATACTACTAGTCCACTCCTTACATAACCACCTAGTAATTAGCTTAAGATAACATTCAAATAAATACATAAAATCAAATAAAATACATAAATTAAAAGCACATAATAATCCCATACCCAATGCACCCTTTGCA